TCTGGGTCTTCACTGCAACTTGGAAGGTTCCATTCCAGCTTCCATAGGGAACTTATCTCAACTTACTTACCTAGGCCTCTCTTCTAACAATTTTAACAGCCAAATCCCAGCATCATTTGCAAACCTCACACAACTTACCTTTCTTGAGCTTTCAAATAATCAGTTTTCTGGTCCCATTCCAGCTTCCATAGGGAACTTAAGGCAACTTATTAGCCTAACCCTCTATTCTAATCATCTTAGCGGACAAATCCCACCATCACTTGCAAACCTCACACAACTTCGCTTTCTTGGCCTTTCAATTAATCAGTTTTCTGGTCCCATTCCAGCTTCCATAGGTAACTTAAGGCAACTTACTAGCCTAGACCTCGATTCTAACCATCTTAGCAAACAAATCCCACCATCACTTGCAAACCTCACACAACTTACCTCTCTTGAACTTTCAAAGAATCAGTTTTCTGATCCCATTCCAACTTCCATAGGTAACTTAAGGCAACTTACTAGGCTACTCCTCTATTCTAACAATCTTAGTGGACAAATCCCATCATCACTAGCAAACCTCACCCAACTTACCGATCTTGACCTTTCAAATAACCAGTTTTCTGGTCCCATTCCAACTTCCATAGGTAACTTAAGGCAACTTGTTAACCTAGAGCTCTATTCTAACAATCTTAGCGGACAAATCCCACCATCACTTGTAAACCTCACACAACTTAGTGGTCTTTTGCTTTCAAATAATCAGTTTTCCGGTCCCATTCCTTTTCATGCTGTTAGGTTTTCCAAACTAATGTATCTCTTCCTTTCTTATAACTTACTTAATGGCACGTTGCCACCTTGGATTTTCACCCTACCTTTGTTAGAGCTCTTGTTGCTCAATCACAACCAATTTCAAGGTCAAATAAACCAATTCCAACAAAACTCACTCACACACCTAGATTTGTCAAACAATAAACTCCAAGGCTCAATTCCTAGCTCAATTGCTAATTTAGTAAATCTTAGAGTTCTCGATTTATCATCAAATCATTTTAGTGAGTTAGTAGCATCTGACCTGTTCTCACTTCAAAATCTGGAAACCATCATTCTTTCATACAATAATCTATCCTTGAGAATGAATGTCGATGCCAACTTCACATTACCTAAAGTAACTAATGTTTTCTTGTCTTCTTGTAATTTGAGTGAATTCCCCATTTTCTTAAGACATTCAAATGGTCTGCAAAGCCTAGAGCTTTCCAAAAATAGCATTCATGGAAATATTCCCAAATGGATATGTGAAAAGGATGATCTCAAAATTCTTGACCTTTCTCATAACAATTTAATTGGGAAGATTCCAAATTGTCTTCCTAAGTCTCTCGCAGTGTTGAATTTGCAGGCTAATTACTTTGATGGAAATATACCGTTTAAGTTTCCAGAGGGCTGTGGATTACGAAATCTCAACTTACATGGAAATCAAATGGACGGCTTATTACCAAGGTCTTTGGTGAATTGTCACATGCTAGAGGTTCTAGACGTTGGCAACAACGACATAGAGGACACATTCCCTCATTGGTTGGAATCTCTACCAGAACTTCAAGTGCTTGTCTTAAGGTCTAACAAGTTCCACGGTTCTGTGCAGAGCACCAAAGAAAGTCCATCTTTTCTTAGGTTACGAGTTCTGGACCTCTCCAACAATGATTTCCTTGGTCCTTTGCCTGTTCGGTACATTGAAAATTTTAAAGCGATGATGGACCTTTATAGAGATGAAAGTTCTCCTGAATACATGAATGCCGGTTTTTATCAATATTCACTGGTTGTGACATGGAAGGGATTCGACTATGAGCTGCAGAAAATCTTGACCGTATTCAGTAGCATTCATCTCTCAAATAACATGTTTGAGGGAGAAGTTCCAGATGTTATTGGAAAGCTTAGTTCTCTCAAAGGGCTTAATCTTTCTCATAACAACCTTACTGGTCATATCCCACCGTCGCTAGGGAATTTGACGAATCTGGAATGGTTGGATCTCTCTTCCAATGAGCTGGCGGGGAAAATTCCTGATGAATTGGTATCTTTGACACAACTCTCTGTATTGAATCTTTCAAATAATCATCTTGTTGGGCGCATACCGCAGGGCAGTCAGTTCAACACCTTTGAAAATGGTTCTTATGAAGGAAACCTTGGACTATGTGGAATTCCATTGTCAAAATCTTGTGATGGAATTGGGATACCGCCGAGCTCCTTCCAAGAAAAAGATGAGTTATGGAGATTTGGCTGGAGAGTTGTGGTGTTAGGCTATGGATGTGGAGTTGTTTTTGGACTGCTGATGGGATATCTTGTCTTCCGAACAGGAAAACCAAAATGGTTTGTGTCTTTGTTTGATGGCCGACCAAGTCAAAGTGGAAGGAAGATGAGGAAAGCCAAAAGACTTGTTCAAAGAAGAAGCTAGTTGCAGAGTTGATGTTTTAGAGTTTCTGATTTAATGTTACCTAAATAAGTGCTTTTCGGGTTTGAAGTTCTTATTATGGCTGGCATTGGCTTGTCTAAAATTTTCAGCCTTCTCTTGTCTTTATTATGCTTTGTAATTTTGTCTTTCTTTATTGTAAAATATATTTGAAGGTTCAAGCTGTTAATCTTTCTGTATTCATGTAGTTCCTTAAGCCGGTTGGTATCAAACTGGTAGTGAAGGTAACTCAAGGTTTTTTTTTTTTTTTTGAAAATAGGCAATGGAGGTATCTCAAGTTTGATCATTACAGTTTTGTTCTTGAGATTCCCATTAGCACGGTCATAAAAATTATTACTTTACATTGTGAAGAAAACAATTATCTGGGTGGTGACCAAGGTGAGGTTTTAGGCCTAGATTTGGAGTCTCTGAAGATTTTGCTGAAGCGTGATGAAGTGGGGAATCTTTATTGTCTTTTGGTTTTTGCGTGCAAGAGAGTGCTCGTGGTGGAGGGAGTGGTGAATGCAAGGTACGAAGTGATTGAGTAGTGGGCATTGTTGTTGAGGAATGGGTGGCCTGAGGTTTCTATGGTTTTTAAGATTTTCAAAGAGCAAGGTGTGATTCTGACTGCACTTTTAGGTCTATCTTCATTCTTCTCAATGGCAGAGACTTCTATAACTACACTGTGGCCATGGAAGGTTTGCTTTCTTGGTTTGAAGATTGATGGTTCTTATAATTAGTGAATAGCAATTGAAATCTGAGTTTTAGTATGGAAACATGAAAAAAGTTGAAAAAGATAAATATATGAAGTTGAAGAACATTCACAGTTATTGATTGTTAATGTTTCAGTAACTTTGATGGTTTAGATAAATATATGAAGTTTGTGGTTGTTGTGCAATGGCATTTGCTGACTTAAATATTGGGTTAAGTTTAGCAAAGATTAATCTGATCTGTTATTTCAAATCTTGATTGTGAAGTTCACGCAGCAGTATTACTGTTTTCTTGTTTGGTTTGGAGGATGATGCTGGTTTCTTATATGTTCATGTGGTTCATATTAACTTATGGAAGAACAAGATTTTTTTTTTTTTTAAATGTCACCAAGCCATCGGGAAACTTTGGTCTCATTGGTGATTTGATGCTAATTTGTGTCAAGTTCGTAAGTTGGCTGAAGTCTGAAGATGGTGTATTTCGAATGCATCATAGTGATGTAACCTAGTTTTTTACCACCATTCTTATTGGCACTATGTACTAGTCTCTCCCATCGTCACATAACTGATCCAGTTCTGTGTGTCTATGTTTAACTTTGGTGCGTGATTTATTTTTAGATTCTGTTTTTGTCACTAGGGTGGTAAATATTGGAGCAACTACTTTAGTTAACAGACACAGCAACACCACTATTTGGAGAAGCTGGTATTAGTGCACCGACTGGAGTGATGACTGTATGTATATAAAAATTCTATCCTCTTTATGTGCCCCACATACCCAACCTCCTTGTCTGCCTTTATTCATGCTCGTATGTAACTCATTGTGAATTTGTAGTAAATTAGAGTAAAGGGCTTAAATTTGTTTTGGGATAAATCTCTTTAAGTTAGCTCCTGAGTTGTAGAGTTCGCTGTTGCAAAGTTTTGTACTTCTTTTGTAAACAATGAAAGAAGAATGAATAAGAAATCATGTTGGGTAACTCTAATAGGCTGCAGAATAATCCAAAGGTGGGTGGTGTGGTTATTTGTCATTCTTTTTCCTTTTTCCCTCTACCTCTATGACAATGTGAAGAAGGTAATGGTAAATGAGCTGGATCTATTGTGACCATAGGGTCTTTGAGTTCGAGATTTGGTATTTTAGGTGGCTTTAGGACTTCCTATGACATAGATACTTGCATTTCAACTCTTGCACGCTGGTCAATCTTTATTTTGTTTGTTTTTTTTTTTATTTTTTGATATTGTGGGTATCCAAACCTTTGGGCACCAATCATTCTTTATACAGTAGATTAATTTGCATATATTTCTCTCTTTATATTATTGGTAAAGGAGTTGATATTTTACTAGAAAATCAAAACAATGTCTTGTATATTGTACATGACAAGCTTAGCTTATTTCCTTCAAGGGGGGTTTTCCGTTTTTACCATTGTTTTTTTTTTTTTTTTCTTCCTTTCTCTCTTTTTTCTTCAACTCACTTGCGAAATTATTAATCTAAAGCTATCCTATAGAGCAATGACAAATGATCTTGGATCCTCTTCTACTTTTTGTTTCCTTTTCTCCTAAATGAATTTGTTTCCAATCTATGTGTATCTGTGCACACTAAAATGCATAGCACCTTTGTTAAATAAAGAAGAAAAAAATGAATTTCTTACTTTTTGCCATTGCAATTTTGAGTGTTAGGTGATAGGTTAAACCCAGGTATGCTTAGGTGATTATTGTAGATATTTTGTTTTCATGCAAGGGTAAAGCTTGCCTTTTTTGAAAAAAGGAAAAAAGAAAAGTGAACATAAAAGATAGAAAGAAATCATAATCATTGAATTTTTTCTGAATGATCCTAGGCTGCTATTTTGCTTCTTACTGAGATCACTCCAAAAAGTATAGCTGTTCACAATCCCACAGAGGTGGCTAGATTTGTGGTAAGTTTTCCATTTAAGTTTCCATTTTCTTCTTGAACTTGCAACTAAAACTTTGTTGAAAAACTTTAACTTTCTCTTTAAAACACCATGGTCTATGTTGCTATTTAACTCTTTTCTACTTAGCTGATGACTGCTAGCAAACTAAAATTATTTGGCTAATGTCGTTTGTTGTGTCATCAGGTCAGGCCGGTGGCATGGCTTTCCTTGATACTACATCTAGTGGGAAGAATTGTTACTTATTTATCAATGGGAATAAGGAAATCATATCCTCCATTTCATCTGTTGCATTTCTTGTTTCTAGTTGTTTGTTAGCGTAAGTTTGTATTGGCTGCTTTATGAATGCTTTGCATGTTTTCTCTTTAATTTAGTGAACCTTATGTTAGTGAAGATGAATTAAAGCTGATGCTACGTGGGGTAGAGTTGAGTGGAGCAATAGGGGAGGAAGAGCAGGTAGTGAAATAAGATAATTTTTCTTTATTGCACCTGCCTGAGTGTCTCTTTTGTTGCAAATAAGAATTAGAAAGTTTCTTCAGTTTCTGAATTCTTTTACTGAGATGAAATTGATCAGCATCATCTATGCTTGACTCTGGTTGCGCATTTACAGTAGAGCATATCTTTTTCTTGCCATATATTTCTCTACCAATTTCTGTTTAAATATTCAGATTCTAGAGTAAATCCATTTTAATTTTTTTGCCGACAGGTGCCTATCTGTTTGTTTACAGTTCAGATGCTCTAATTTTATGAATTCCTTGCAGGATATGATTGAAACTGTATTAGAGATAAAGGATACTCATGTTAGAGAGGTCATGACACCCCTTGTTGATGTGGTTGCAATTGATGCAAGTGCAACTCTTGTTGATTTTCACCATCTATGGGTGACTCACCAATATTCAAGGTAGGGAATTGATAATTCATCTCTAAGGCTTTATCTTCTTCAAGAAACTTGTTAAAAGATTTCTGTTTACAGGGTACCTGTTTTTGAGCAGCGTGTTGACAATATAGTTGGCATTGCATATGCAATGGATCTACTTGATTTTGTTTGGAAGGTCAGGCAATTTCTTCCCTTGACACACCCTTTTTCCATCATTAGAACTTTTCTTATCAATTATATGCAACAATGTCAATATCATAGCGTGCAGATTTGTAATCACTTGATTTTTATTTCTTTTTCTGGGAACTGGTGAAGGTTCTACTGTGGTAGAGATGGCTCACAAACCTGCCTACTTTGTGCGCGGTATCCCTTGACCCTTTTCTCTAGTTGATATTTTAATGATGTTCTTTCGGTTGATATTAACACTTTCTAGCTTTTCATGACACTCTCAACTGCATAGTTTTTTTTTTTTCTTTTTTAATTGCTATTACCCTATTTTCTCACCATATTATCCACATTTTATGTGAAGATGTCATTTCTTTTCTGATTTTTCTAATTAATCGAAGTGCAGAAGACCCTGTTTCATTAGACTTATTTGTTGTTTTAGTAGTTATTGTCTAGGGAAAAAGAAAATGGAAAAAATAGAATGCTTCAACTATCTATACAGTAAAATCTAGAAAGTTGGTTTTGCAGATTCAATGTCAGTCTAGAATCCTCTTAGAGAGTTTCGGATCAGGAGGGTTCACATGGCTGTTGTTCTTAATGAACATGGTGGAATTGTTGGGGTCTGTGCAAAGCCTCTTATTGAAACTTTCCCTAAACAGAATCATCCATTGTGTTGAGGTTTTTTATTATGATAAAGTGCCGCATGTCATAATGATGTTCTTAATGTCTTCTACCATTTTCTTTATTTTTATTTTATGCCGCATGTCAACTTATGCTAACTTGTGATATCTTGAAACAATAAGAGACAACATTTGTGATATTTTGAACTTTGTTCTAGAGTTAGACGCCGACAATGCTTTCTAGATAAACTAACATTGTAAAACTTTTTCACAGGTGAAGTATCAACATCTGAAACATTATCATGGTCAGTTGTGCATATGACAGTGTCTCTGGACCATAAATTCGCCAATATTGCAGTCTGAATGGCCTGAACCTGGGTATTCCTGCTCTGCAGACGGGCTTCTCTTTTGAGTGTACACTGAAGAGGAAGCTCTTACTGAAGCATGAGTACAGGGTGGAAAAGCGATCTGCATGGCACATAAGGCACAGTTGCATTGATCTGCCTTGATTCAGGCAACATCCGTAAGAGCTCTTTCTCCTGCCTTATCTCCTTGGCTCTCTCCAACTATCTGAACCTTTCTTGCAGAAGAGCAAGGGATGGATGAACAATTGCTGGATCAATCTGTCTATCTTCACTCATTCCAGCCAGGACTTAAGATGATTATTTTAATTCATTCATTCCAGCTATTTGATTCTGTATGACTAAAAGTTGGAATACAAAAGCAGCTGAGCTGCAATGTGTAACAAGGCAGAAATATGTGGCCATGTGAATGGGTGAAAGTATGTCCAGGGAAGAAAATGGTCAGGAGCAAAATCCAAAGAGATGTGGAAAGTAGCATTCGGAAGTGTTTCTTTAAGGAGAATAAAAGACTGGGTGCGTTTTGTATAGGCTTGTCGCCAAGGGCCGCTGGTATGCCTTTGGAGTCTTTTTGGTGGGGGATTTGGTCGGACCTTGCCATTATATATAGCTTTGAACATTCTCCTTTTTCATTTGTGGACAGCACAAAGCTTGAACACTCTGAACTCAATTCGGATTCTGATGTTTTTATCAAAGAAAACCCCTTTATGGAGAGGAGAGAAAAGAAGAATCAACCAAAGCCAAGCCCCTCTTTCTCTCTGTACATGTTCTGTTTTGTCTTGAAGCTTTTGGATGGAAATGGCATGGAAGATGAAAGTTAAGATATTAGATTGGATCTGTGGTTGTTGGGGGAGTCAAATTTGAAAAGCAATATATATCCTAAAGCTAGAGGTAGAGGTCTCATTATCCCAAACAAAAAAATAGAACTCTCATGGACTTAAAACAAGTGTTTATTTCTCACAGGTAAATATTTTTTGCTGTTTGTTTTGAATTGTTTCTATTGTGCAGATTTTGGGTGTCAAGAATTTGGTTTATTCTGGGCATTTTGGGTGTTTTGCCAGTGTGATTTCCATTTTGAGGTAAATGTTTTTTGCTTTTTATTTGGAATTCTTTCTCTGGTGTAGATTTTTGGTTTCAAGAGTTAAGTTTATTCGTAGCATTTGCTGTTGATTTTGACAGGAATGGTGGGTATTAGGATATGAGAGGTGGGTCGTGTCGGCAAGAACAAGTTTTCAAACTTGCGGTCATCCTCCAAGAGTCCGATGACTCCACCACAACTTGCGACCCCCTCCTTCCATGGCTCTGGTACTCTACTCTTCCCATCGCCTTACCTTTTGTGTTGGGTATGGTTGTAGAAATACTTCTGTTTGTGATAAATTCGTTCTACTTTTTGGTTACACAGGTCGATAAAGAGGGCGTTGGACAAATGGTACTCCGGTGACCACTCCAGTGCAGATCTCGACAAGCTTCTTTCAGATTGTATAACTGCTTTCAAGCACAGTGCGCAGTACAGAAACGACATCAGATTTCTCAAGATTTGGTTTGTTTATGTAATCAACTCTCTTCTCTCCTACACTGCTTAACCTTGGACTTAGTTATCCCTTTGCATGTAGAAAATTGTTAATTGAATTGGATTTTTTGGGTTTTGGCTTCTTTATCAAATTCAATAACCTTAATAA